GGATTGAGTTTATTTGTTCCAAGCTTGGTACATACAATTTGTATGCTCCAGCTTGAGGGGGAGTGTTAGGATATTTATCCTATTTTATCATCATTATAGTGTGTCAAGGGTTACCCTATTTATCATGATTATATTGTGTCTAGGATTACCCTATTTATCATGATTATATTGTGTCTAGGGTTACCCTATTTATCATGTACTTGTGTATCAATTTATTCTTATAAATAGAAGATTGTGAGAGGGACCAATTAAGCCCTCTAGAATTATTTTACACTCCAAAAATGTTGTTAGGACCTGTCCACTCTTTTTTTGTGCCTCCCACAATTACTTCAAAAAAGCTTAATGGCAAAATTTACCTATCTTGGTTTGCAGCTGTTAAGCTTTAGTTTCTTGATCAAGGTTTCCATGATCACTTGAAAAAGGACAAGAGTGAAATATCATTAGGAAGTGTTGAACAACGGAAGAAGCTAGATTTTCAACTTCGTGCTCTATTGTGGCAATTTGTGGCAATTTGTGGCAATTTGTGGAACCCAATATCTTGGGAACCCTGACAACAGTTAAAATAAAACGTGTAAATCCTTTAGGAAGAAGGCTTAGAGTATTATTGCAGAAGATTTAGCAACTTTATGATTTTGCCCATAAACTTGTATCTCTTAACAAACAAATCATGACATGACATCATTTGCTATTGAAGGTCAATATGTTGTTTAGGAGTTAAATATGTTCTTATAAATTATTCTAACAAATATTGAGTTTAGGGTTTAGACTTAATAATGGGTTTAGGGTTTAGACTTAATAATTACTCTACCATACTCAGTTTTAATAATTATTCTAACAGATACTAAGAAATGTGAAATTCTTAGGAAGTCATAAGTATTTTTCATAATTCATATATGCAATACTTTCACCAAAATCCTTCAAGAAATGTGCCATTAGCATCGTCAAAAGAACCAATAATATGAAATAAAAGATGTGAAAAGGCACATATGATGACAAACCGAAAACTGCAATGTATTAATACAAAGCAGGGTTTAAAGAGAAGTACCAGCAGCAGATTTCAAATCATACTCGGGTATTGTGAAAGCTGATTTGATCCCCTGTAAAACATTTGATACAGTTGATGAGATAACAGAAGCCAGTATAATCATGGCAGTTGTAAATGGAGGAGAGTTCTCTGCTCGGAGAGGCCTCAGCACAGTTTCAATAGCAAAGAAACAACCAGCAACTGGTGCATTGAAGCCTGAAGAGAAGAAAATTGAAAGCTAACATTTGAAAACTGTATATAACAGTTTATTATATTTAATTCAAAGCTCTATACAAAAAATCATTCAGAAGCTGCCAAAGAGTATTGTGTAAACTAAATGCTGATCAAAACTTTATTAAGGTCTGTTCAACGTATTTTCTGTGACATAACAGAAAGAATAAATGCCAAATGGCTACAAGTTTATTAGCTAAAACAACTCATTACTTACGAAATAACATCAGCAACACAGTTTTTTCATAAAAGAATAATTTAAGACAGGAAAGGGAACAGGAGGATCAATCACAAATCCTCTTCGGTCACAAGAAGGGAGGAGCAGGGGAGAAAAAATAGCTGATATAAGCATCCCAAGTTTCTTTTCTTGTCTGACCCTGCCCTTTTGCAACAAGTAACTAATATTGAGCTGACTGTTAAGCTAGAATTAAAAAAAATGGAAAGAAACTAAAACCAAAAATTCTTCTCCCTCTTTTGTGTGACATGGCTGGTTTCCTTAGTCCCAAAACTCAGTCCATGGTCATTTTCAAGGGAATGGAGCAGTTTGTTGATGTACTTAGTTTTCTCTCAGTACAGTTATTTTTATTTTGTTTCTTTAAGGGGGATGTTTTAAATTTCTTAACTGTACATTCTCTTTTTCCTTACAAGTTTCTTTTGTATAAAAAAATAAAAATAAAATAAAATAAAACTCGGACTTGCTGTTAGAAAGGGCTGCCTATGGAGGCTCTGAACAAAAAGGCTGAGTGAAACATAAGAGTGCAGCCATTGGGAGTCACTTCTCAAGGGCAGTACTAGATAACGATGCAGGAATTTTGGGATGCCAAAGTGCCATATCAAAAAGTATGACATATTCAGTGGAGTACTTAAGTGGTTTGGTTCTCCCCTATTGACAGCAACTTTTTAAGGAAAATTTCAACATGTGAAGGGAGATAATCAGTAAAAGGAAATACCACCCTGTGAAGAATGGCAGTCGCAAGGGCTGGGATTTATTCAGATAGTGGTCAGATCTCCCTCTGCAATAGAAATGCTATACAGGGTATTTTCAGCTATGTTGTTACTATCAAGTGTCAAGCTATAGCAGTTGTCATTCTTCTTTTATGAAAAAGTAGAAAAAAACTAATAACACATCATGTATACTGGGATATATTAGGGGAAAACTACAATGAATACATACATATTGGCAGGCATATGGTGAACCAATAAATAATTTTCTTCTTTAGCAATTTTTCATTAATTAAATCACCATTGAAAACATTCAAGGAGGTTTAAATGATCAGAATATGAAATGAACTGTTAAACTCCAATGGAGAGAGAAAAACTAAGCTGAAACCATGTAACTCTTAGACAACACAGATATTTTATTTATATTGAGAAAAAAGAATCAATATAATAAATAGAGGAAATTTGATATTCTCTAACAACAAAGATATGATATATGGGAATAATTAAAAAAAATTCTAATAATACATATATAATCTAGACATTCCTCATTATATAGAATCAGCACCTTATTTTTATAATTATAACAATATTCCTTATTGTATAGGACTAGCACCTTATTTCTATAATTATAGCATGAACAAACATCAAATGCATTTTAAAAAGTGACTTTGACAATATTGCAGGCTAACCTGACGAAATTCCAGCCGCTGCACCAGCTGCAACAAGTGCTATTTTCCTTTCTCTGTTGTGTTCCATCATTAGTGAGAATCCGTTGGCACATGACTTCCCAATATCAACACTAGGACCTTCAGGCCCCAATGAACAGCCAGTACCTAAAGTAACTGCAGCCTGAATAGCCTTTATTGTCGGAAAGATTCCTGCAAGAAAATCAAAACCTTGTGTTTGAGAGGCAGTGGATTGCTTTATTTGGTCCAGTATTTCCAGTAAACCACACATCATTCCGACAATGACTCCTCCAGTGACAGGTATTAAAAGGATTCGATGCCATGTATCAGCCAATCTCTGAATACGAAGCCAGGCAGCACCCTCAATTGGAGTACCAGCCCATACCCATTCATGTATTATATGCACCTAGATTACCACATTCCAGTATACGTCAGATAGATCATCTTCCTCAACAAGTTTGGCAAAGATCGTTAGTAACATTAGAATATGTATAACCACATAGCCC